TATATATATATATATTTTTTCTTACTTTAATTTTTTCTATGTGTTCTTTTTGTATTAATATGTGTTTGTCATGTGTCTTCTTTGTTTGTTATTGTAATTTTGTTCCTTTTTACTCCTTGTTTAAGTCCACTTATAGTTGAACATTGTATTTGGATTAATATTTCCAATAAAGCCATATGTAACAACATATATAAATATATATATATATATATATATATATATATACAGGGGTTGGACAAAAATATGGAAACACCTTGTGAAATGCATGTTTGAAAAGAAAGATTGATTTTAATGAAATATGTAGGTGGCGCTGCCGTTTTTGGCTACTTACGCCACCTATACAATTTCGTAAATGTGCTAAACAGTTCAGTTATTGTCGGAGTACAGTTATGTGAAGTTGTCATTGCATTATGTCAGAGTTAACAGACTTCGAACGTGGGCAAATTGTTGGAGCACGTATGGTAGGGGCTTCCGTAAGCAAGGTAGCCGAGGTGTTTAGTGTTTCAAGAGGTACTGTATCGAAGATTTATTCCGCATATTTGAAAAGCGGAAAAACATCCTCTGCTAAATCACAGCGCGGATGAAAGTGTGTCCTGAGTGATCATGACAGACGATCATTAGGGGCAATTGTTACGAAAAATAAGAAGACCACAGCTGCAAAAGTTACTGCTGAAATGAATGTTGTGTTACCGAACCCTGTGAGTAAGAAAACAATTAGAAGGGAACTTCATAAACAGGGAATTGCTGGCCGTGCTGCAATTGAGAAGCCACTCATCAGTGATGCTAATGCCCGTAACAGGAAAAGGTGGTGTTTAAGTCATAAAGCCTGGACTATAGAGCAGTGGAAGCGAGTAATATGGTCTGACGAGTCTTCTTTCACATTGTTTCCCACTTCTGGCCGAGTTTACGTCTGGAGAACGCCATCTCAAGCCTATAATACAGACTGCTTGTTGCCAAGAGTGAAACATGGCGGGGGTTCTGTTATGGTTTGGGCAGCCATATCGTGGTTCTCTGCTGGCCCCATGATAACTGTGTCAGGGCAGGGCACATGACTGCCAAGACTTATGTGAAAATTTTGACCGATCAAGTTCATCCCATGGTACAAACTTTGTTCCCCGATGGCGATGGTGTCTTCCAAGACGACAAAGCCCCTGTTCACGCAGCTCACATTGTCCAGGACTGGTTTTCTGAGCACGAGGATGAGTTGTCCCATCTCCCCTGGCCACCACAGTCACCAGACTTGAATATTATCGAACCTTTGTGGTCTACATTGGAACGGAAAGTGCGTTCTCGTTATCCACCGCCAACATCGTTATCTGAACTTGCCACCGTTTTGCAGGAAGAATGGTATAATATTCCCTTGGCAAACATACAGGAACTGTAATTATCCATTCCGAGAAGACTGCAAGCTGTTTTGTATGCCAACGGGTTTCCTACACCATATTAAGCAAAGAAACGTGTTTTTTTAAGGTGTTTCCATATTTTTGTCCAACCCCTGTATATATATATATAATATAAAAATCTTCAACTAATCTTTTTATGTTATTTCTATCTCCAAATCTTCTTTAATTCATTATTTAAAACTAAGTGCCTTCTCACATTTTAATATATTCTCTTTACTAAGTGTGAGAACTATATTTTTCTTTCCACCTATTTAATGGAGGACTAATTATAATTACTCGTGTTTCCTTTTTCCATGATACGTAATATATCATCGGGATTGTTTTGTAAAATTTTCCCTATTTTTTATTCAGAAGCAATTTTCTGTCACTTTGATGATCGTCCTCTGATAATTATGGTTAAATAAACATGGATGTCCTCTTCCTCTGCCTAAGACCCGTTTTTATTTTACCACTCGACAACGTCTTTATAAGCCGGCTGGTTAAAACGGCAGGGTCGAAGAGGGTAAATCGGGGGTGAAGATGCAAGAGTATCTGATTCAAATGGTCAATTGAATATGTATTTTGTTCAAAGATCTCCAAGTTAGATAAATAAATAACACATTTTTTAAATAATTTCGAGCAGGATGGGGGAGTTAACTTATTTGAAATAAACCAACTATTTAACTTCCAACTATTTAATTTTGATTTCTTTGTCTCATTCTACCTTCCAAATTTTAATTGTAAGCAAATTTTTTGAGGTCCTTAAAAAATATTCTTAGTCTTAACAGTAAAAAAAAAAAAAATTTACAGTATTGATTTCTTAGAAAGTCGCTTATGCCGTTATCTTACGTAAAATTTATTTTAATATCGCGTGACGAATTTTAATTTTAAATACTATGTTACTAAGTGAATAATACCAAGAAACTGAAACGAAAAGATAAAAACTTCATTGGCTTCAAAAAAAATGGAGGTGATAATAAAAATGGATATGTTTTGTGAGAATGCCTAATTATAAAGCAATTTGAACAAGCCTTGTAAGGGATAGTTCAAATTCGTAAAATTTCGGCGATGCGAGTCAAAACTTGAATGGTGAAATATATTTACCTGCGAAAAACTTGTTTGTTGTCGCTTGCATTTTCGAATAATTAATTTTTTCTCATACAGTGAGAATGGTCATTTCAGGGCTCCACGTACTGATTGCGGTAGAGAAAAATGGAGAATATGATTGGTATTCGCGATCGCAACGAACTACAGGGGGCGTTGTTGTATGAGACTAATACCTGCGATTTCTATATGAGCAGTCATTCAGTTACTCTAGAGACGTCGTTAATGTAGCACGTAGCATTGCAACGTTCCTTCTTTATTGTGGCTAATTAAATTTAAAAAAGAAAAATGCTTGATATTCTNGAACTTTTGTGATCTGGCAACTAAACAAAAAGATTCAGTTTAGTTTTCTGTAACAAAGAGATCGAGTTTAGCTTTTGTGTTCTACTAGAGATAACGTCAGCGATCTTTGTCTATAGTTGTGTTCTAATATTTCCACAAATGTTATTTACTTGTTAAATGTTATATTAAAGTTGTTAAGTTTTTACTGTTCTTATTTCATTTACTTAAAGCATTAGTTTCAATTACATAGACTTATATATCTGCTAAACTGGTGACAACGGATGTGATGGATGGCGAAAATGGAAACAGTTCTAAAACGGGACCTGCAATGCCAGAACTTTCGCCTGTAGCTGTTAAAGTTCCCCAGTTTTGGAAAGAAAATCCTGCAATATGGTTTTCACGGGTAGAATCTCAGTTTATCACTGCGGGAATTACTCAAGATAGCACAAAATATCATACGATCGTCGCTTCAATCGAGACGGACATTTTATCGCAGGTCAGTGACATTATCACTTCACCTCCAGTTAGAAACATGTATGATTCTTTAAAGCAAAGATTAATTGAAATATTCAGCATTTCTGAAGAACGTCGTTTAAAAAAACTCTTGCAAGATATCGCATTAGGTGATAGGCGACCGTCAGCATTGCTGCGACAAATGAAAGATTTGGCTGGTGATCGTGTTGGCGACGCATTGCTAAAATCATTATGGCTTCAAAGACTTCCCACCCAAATGCAAGCTATTTTAAGTACTTCATCAGATCCTCTTAATAAGTTAGCTACAATGGAGAATAAGATTGCTGATGTTACTTTTTCAAATGAAATATTCCCTGCTAGTTCAGGAACGAAACAAAAAGTGCCAAACGATGGCGAATATTCAAATATTATCGAATCGCTGCAAGCTCAAGTGTGTGAATTAAATAAAAAACTTGATAAAGTGTTGCGTTTCCGAGGTCGAAGCTCTGATAAAAATATGAATAAACACCGTAATCGCTCCACAAGCAAAAATAGACTTTGCTGGTACCATTTTCGTTTTCGTGAAAGAGTTAACAAATGTATCCAACCATGCAGTTTCAAGCAGGAAAACTAGACGGCCATGCGTTACTGGCGGCGAACGCCAACGGCCATGCAAATTGTCGCCGTATAGTTATTGATAAGACATTAGGTCTTAAATTATTAGTAGACACTGGCGCTGATATTTCTGTTTTGCCACCTTCTCAGAATGAACGCAATAGGACTCCGTCCATCTTGAAACTCGTTGCTGCTAATGGTTCTCAAATTCTGGTTTATGGAACACGAAAATTGGATCTTGATATTGGACTGCGTTGCGTCTTTCCCTGTACGTTTACAATTGCTGATGTATCACGATCCATTCTTGGAGCTGATTTTTTATGATATTAAGACATTTTAGTGGATCTGAAATCCAAGCCGTTAATTGATAAGTTAACTAATGTTACATTTCGCGGAAAAATTTCTTATGAATCAACGCTTAAAATAACTGTGTTGAAAACGTCTGCGGAATTTCATTCTTTAATTTGTGAATACCAAGACATTTTCGAGGAGAGAAAATCAGAAAAAAAGACTATACCTCATAATGTCAGTCATGTCATCGAAACAAAGGGTCGACCAGTGGTTTCAAAAGCGAGAAGACTATCGGTTGATAAAATGGAAGCGGCAAAAGCGGAATTTAATTACCTAGTACACCAAGGAATATGTAGCCCATCCAAAAGTTGCTGGTCAAGCCCATTACACATGGTTAAAAAATCGGATGGATCGTGGCGACCATGTGGAGACTACAGTGCGCTAAATGCCAATACACTTTCTGACAAGTATCCCATTCGGCATTTACACGATTTTTCTACCAATTTACATGGAAAAACTGTCTTCACAACGCTTGATCTTCGCCGAGCTTATCATCAAGTGCCCATGCGCAAGGAAGACATTGCAAAAACTGCCATCATCACCCCATTTGAACTTTTTGAATTTAATTTCATGACTTTTGGGTTAAGAAATGCTGCACGAAAATGCAGCGTTTTGTTGACCAGGCTCTGCAAGGGTTAAACTTCTGTTTTGTCTACATTGACGATATTTTGATTACCTCGTCTACAATCCAAGAACATCTCCTTCATGTTAAGGAAGTTTTCAAACGTTTGAGACAATATGGCCTCATCGTTAACCTTTCAAAATGCACCATTGCTGCTGAAAAGGTCAAATTCTTAGGTCATCTGGTTGATGAACATGGTATTATGCCATTACCAGACAAAGTTGAGGCAATTTCCACTTATCCTAAGCCAACAACAGTAAGCGAACTCAGACGATATTTAGGAATTCTAAATTTCTATCGTAAATTCTTGCCGCATGCTGCTCGAAAGCAATTACCATTACATCAAATGCTTGGATGTTGTAAGAAAAATGACAAAACTCCTCTCTCTTGGACAACTGAAGCTGAAAGGTCATTCCAATCTTATAGAGCAGAATTAAAAGAAATCTCTTATTTGGCTCATCCGAATTCATCTGCAGTGCTGACTTTGATGACAGATGCTTCAGATACTGCTGTTGGTGCTTGTGTTCATCAGAAAAGCCATCAAGATGCAGAGTGGCAGCCTTTAGGTTTCTTTTCTCGTAAATTGAGTGCTGCGGAGAAAAAGTATAGTGCCTATGATCGTGAACTCCTTGCAATTTTTACATCCATAAAATACTTTCGTTACATGTTGGAAGGAACTAATTTTATAGTGTTCACTGATCATAAACCTTTAATTCATGCATTAACTCAAAAATATGACAATCTTTCACCACGGCAAATTCATCAACTAAATTTCATCAGTGAATTCACCAATGACATCCGGCACATCAGCGGCTTAAACAACGCAGTTGCTGATGCTTTTTCCAGAATTCAACAGATTGCAGTTCCAAGAGGCTTAAATTATGCTGATATTGCTCAAGAACAAATAAATGATCCAGAATTAGAAGCCTTACTTAACAGTGAAACTGGTCTGCAGTTGAAAAAGATTAGCATTTCTGATCC